AGCATGCTATCCTTGGGATTCTTCCCCTACAGAGTAGCATCTCTACAGTGTTGAATCCATGTCACAATGACAACAATAATGTTAAAACGCTTTACATCACTCTTTATTTCAAAAGTGCTTTACTAACAGAGACTAATCTTTACAACATTCAAGGGAGGTAGATAAGTATTACACCACTGTCACAGATGGAGAAACTGAGGCAGAGATTAGTAAGTTGTGTTGAAGGGCATAACATATGGCACAATTAGGAAAAGAATTTGTTGCAGTCATGAATCACTGGTGACCTTTCCCGTGACATCTGAGTTCCACCAACACAGAAGGAGCGGATGCCGCAAGGAAGCAGATGGTCGATATTACGACTAGTCTAAGGCTACAAACTTCACCCTGTTGATACCACATGTTCAATATGCTGGGTGTTGGCAAGTATCTCCCTCACACACATTCTCAGGTGATTCCAACTCTAAAACAGGGGTCAGTGGAAACTGTCGTGGGTGCAGAAGGAGGGGCTGCAGAAATAGGGCTGGGAAGGCAGAAGATAGAAAAGGGCAAGGAAGAACAAGAGGATCAGCTGGGAAACAGCTCAACAGAAAGTAAGCAGCAGCCGAAAAGAAGTGCTATTCCATTTGAACAGCTCAGACATCTAGAGATGCTATTAAAAGAGTAATTCTTTGCAATGACATTACAGAGTCACTCTTCATGGCTTTGCCAAATATAATTATCAGGTCCTTCTGACATTCCCGGGAGGCAGAACCGTTCCTCTCCCCTGGCCCAGACCAAGTGTTGATGTAATTGACCTAACACTGCAGAAGCTGTTGACAACTCAAATACACTGCCCCACCATGCCTCTTTCCTTCTGTTGGCTCTTGTCTTAAAAACAAATAAATAAATAAAAACAATGTATTTTAAGATTCTCCCTGAAGAGCTCCTAAAATATTTCCTAATTTTTAATGCATAATAAGGTAGGATTCTATGTTTGATTATTGTAAAGGGGCTGTAATGGGCATACGTGGGAATTAGCCTCTCAGCCAGCACATCTTTACACAACAAGGGACACTTAAAAAATACCCAGAAATTTGTGGGTGCCAACTAGGAGAGAACTGAAGCCCAAGATCAAAGAAATCAGTTGACCCTTGAACAACACAGGTTTGAACTGCGCAGGTTCACTCACACTCAACTTGTTTTCAATAGTTGGGTACCATAGTACACCACCATCTGCAGTTGGTTGAATTCCCAGATGCAGAATTGCAGATACAGAGAGCTGATTGTAAAGTTATAGGTGGATTTTCCACAGATAGGGTGTGTGGGGCCCTTAGTCCCCCAGTCGTTAAGGGTCAACGATAGTCTTTCCTGACCTTTCAAGTGTGAAGCCTTTATAAGAGATGCACTGGCTGCCGGGGAGGCGCTGATGGCATCAGATGAATCGGACGATGAGGACCCAGCGGAGAGGGGTTACAATGTCAGCTGAACAGGTGCAAGAGGCAGCACAGGCAACTGAAGTGGCGGAAGTCAGAGCAAAGAGGTGACCGCCAAAGAGGAGATGGGAGGAGGAGCCGGTGTTCCAGGCTGAGTGGCAGCAACTGCACCTGTTTGTGTCCAGGCTTCTCCTAGGACACTGTCAGCCAGATGCATCTTTTCTTTATTTCAATCAGCATCATTCTTTCAGGCATCAACTTCAAAACCTTAGTCATCTGCTTCAACAAAAGAAATCTGCTGCCAAGCCTGAGTGACCCTACTCCTGCCCCTCACATGGGTCTCCCTCATTTTGCACTGGAGGTGCACTCTAGGTCCTCCTATCATCTCATCCTAACTAGAGCCAAACAATCCTCCCTTGTCTTCTGGACTTGTCTTCTCTAAGCTCAGTTCCATCTTCTAATCTTCCTCCTGGAGCACCATTTTGATCATGTTACTGCCGAATTTGGAAATTACCCCACGTCCTCCCAATTACATGTCTCATTGCACGAATCTTCAACAGGATCTTACATCTTGTGAATTTCCTCTCCTTTCTGAATCTCCACCTACCAAACTACCAACTCTAAAGATTTAGCTCAAATGCTACCTCCTCCAGGCGGCCTCCCTTCAAGCTTCTTCACTCTCTGCTGAGCTACAAATGCTCTAGAAGACATGCACTGATCAAATCATGACAGCTGTGTACCAGCTCTCCTACTGGGCTATGTCCACGATTTGGCAGGGCAGGGGATGCATTAGTATTAACCCGTCAAATCTCTACAGCACCTGCCAAGAGATGTTTATTGCATCTCCACCTCAGGTAAAGAACTGCTCAAAAGTGGAACGCGTTGGGATATACCTGTTCACAAGTGGAGGCATTACGAGTAAGCTGTAGATGTCATCTGGCTCTCAGAATAAAGCAAATCCATGACAGAGCTTTTGAGGGATGGGGTGGGAGCAGGCAGGTGGGGCTATCTGTTTTCAAGTCAAGACACCTAGCACTGAGGTCCTGTTTTGCCATACACTAGCTTTCAGCCTGGTGCAAGTGTTTCTTCTGAGCATCATTTCCTCATTCCTGCTGGACTTCACAGGACTAAGAACCAAATGATACACGTTTCTGAACTCTTTGTAGACCAGTGGGTCTCAGTCTCAATCGGGCATCATCATCCTTTGCAAAGCTTCCCAAAACATAGAAGACCAGGCCTCAAACCAGATAAACTGAATCTCCTGGGAATGGAACCCGTTGAGACAAATTTTTTATAAAACACTGTTTCTAATGCAACTCAAGGTTGAAAACTGTTATAAACTCATAAATACCATTAACAGTGGAACATGTGCTTTAGCCTGCTGGTTTAATTATCCTTTATTTGTTCAGTTAGGAATTAGTTCAATGCTTTTACAGTTCCATTATATGTGTGAGCTCTTTTTGTGTTGTTCCACATTGTTATTTGTGTGATTAGGTGGCAAATTCTGAGAGAATAATAATATATGGCACAATGCGTATACTAAAAGGGACCTCAGCCAATGGTGGTGCTTTTTTTTTTTTAAAGACCAGGGTCCTCTAAAACCTTGCTGCACAGAATCATGGTTACCAGACAAGCAGAACTGGCATAACCTGGGGGCTTGTAAGAAATGCACAGTCTCAAGCCCCATGCCAGAATCGGCATATTAAGGAGATTTCCAAGTGGACCAATAGATGAAGCAAATCAAACTTTTGTCAGTTCACATCTGTGTTGAGGACCTGCCATTCCCTGGCCTAATTTGTCTCCCATAAATCCATGAAGCTTGAGACTTTTTCCAGATGCTGATTCTCTAAAGGGTCCATTTGGTAAAAAACTAAGAACACAAATCCTTACGAAAGCATCCTTCCTTTGCAAGAAGATTAGTCTTCCTGGGTTCTCTTCAATAACTGGTTCCTCTAAGGTATTTAAAATATGATCAGTGCATATAATAAATTGATATCCATTTAAGTTTTATGCAGTGCATCTGCATATATGAGTATATATGTACTTGACTGAATTTACAGACCCTGAGACCCAAATTCCAAAATTATGAAAGGAAGGAAGCTTAGCCACTGTAGTAAATGCTCCCTGTCGACTCACGTCCTACAGACAATTATGATGTTAGCAGCCGTTGTCCAAGACTGTGCAGACCACATCATAGTCAAGGAGGTGGTCTGATCATTATCTAGACCAGCTCCCTTGTTTGAGAGACAGGAAACAGCAGGGCCAAAGGCTCAATGGAGTTATCAAGGTCACACAGCGCCGGAGGCAGAGCCAAGCCCAGAATTCAAGCCCCGACTCCACGTCCTACACTGCCTACATAGCCTCTGCCACAAATACTCCTCCTTCCCCGACACACAGTCTTGAAATTTCATTCTCAGACTCTGCTGACCTGCCACAGCCCTTGAGTGTCACTTTGCTTCTCCCAACTACTGCTATGCCCAGCTCCCAAGGCTGTTTTTCACACTAGACTACAGGAGAAGTTATATCACAGCTCAGTCAAAATATCCATTTATCAATCCATATTCCCAACTCTATTGGTAGTGGATTCTGAAAAAGCTCAACACCAACTGTGTAATGCCTGTGGAGCATTACTATTAGCCAGCACCAGCAGTGCGGCGAGGGAAGGGTCTTTCCTTGGCTGGCTAAAGATTAAAACTAAGGGCAAGCATGAACTCAGTAGTACAAAGTTGGGAGGAACCTATAGCAGGAAGGCGAAAACTGGAGCACAGTGGGGGAGGCAGCACCTTTAAAAAACATCCACAGTGTGACTATAAAATTGCAAGTCTTGTCTTTTAAAAAACTAAGAAATAAGCATGACAGAATGTAGAACTCTAAACGAACATCTCTCTCTCAAAGTAATCACATCCTTAGTTCCAACAAAGCTACCCGTGTTGGAGACATTATCTGGAACTCTTCTTTGAGGAAAGGGGAAAAAAAGGCAGTCTATGAGCCACATTAGAAAATAACCTTCCATACGTCGGGCTGTTTAAAAACAGAAAAGCCACACTCAGAAGATGACACAAAAAAACTGACACGTGTGCTGCAGCTCTTATGGAGGTTCCCGAAAGACCTCTAGCAAATTCTGAGCCACAGCATCACCACTGGAGAAACATGTATCCTCCCAAGACAGCCACTTTCAATGGGAGGGCATTTATTTGGATAGAAAAGGTCTGCTGTCTAATTAAAAAAAAAAAAAAAGACCCACAAAACCCAGCCACACTCCTTTATAGTCACACTTGCATTTGATTAAAAAAATACAACAACACTCACACATGGTTCTTGTACGAATTCTAATTAAGAGACATTACATTCAGAATGATAGCACTCAAAGTGATAATTTTCAGAAAACTCTAACAACTTCTTTACCACTGAAGGGGTACATAGGGTGCAGCTGTTTACCTGAATGTATTCTTTTTTTTTCTTAAGTGACCACTACCACTCTAATTTTCCTAGTTCGTAGCTCTGTTACAGGTTACTGACCGCAAGTTCGTGTTCCAGACTTTCTTTGCCAACACAGATTAATTACAAGGGAGCCACCCCCACAGTCTTTTAGGGTGAATTGGGAAAGGGCCGGTTAAATGAGGAAACAGGCCACTCCTTGGTAAAAGTTTGTAGTTTTCTTTCCCAATACATCTTCTTTTTATTGAGAACTTCCATTTTTATCCTGTGTTCCTCCTCTGCCATCTCACACTCTCGCTCTATCTGCTGGATTTTGGCCACATGCACCTCATTCATTTGTATCAGCTGCAGTTGTAAGATGGACATTTGTTGATGGTGTTCTTCCTCATGCATCTTTTTTAAAGCACCTTCCTGAGAGGTTTTGCTCCTGTAGTTTTTATTGGCTGTTATTCTGACAGCTGAACACGAGGGTTCAGGTTGAGAGGTCCCCTCACATACTGGAAAATGTATGAACTCTTTCTCATCATCGCACAGTTCTCTATTTGAAACAGCAAATGATTCTGAAAAACAGTAGCAGAAAACATATGTTCAAAGATCTTACAGGCAGAGAGTAAATCAATCCTATTTCAAATGACAGGGTCCCCCATGGCAGGATGACTTGAGACAGCATCTGCTCTGGTCTGCATGGCCACAGGTAACCCTGCCACTCCTGACTTTTAAAAAAAACCATTTAAAAAAAAAAAACCCATACATCGAAAGCAATTTTCCCTTAAGAAAGTAATGATAATAGGTTTCATCATGTCATTTCTGACACTGCACACTATGAGAAAAGTGGTCCGAGACTGTGCTTATCAAGGATTGGAGACCTGGATATGCGGATATAAGTTCTAAAATGAAATGTGCACAACCCTCAGTGAGCAGAAGACCACAGTATGAAGCCAGTGGTCGGTTTGCAGATTAAGAAGTTCTCCCTTGGTCTGATCTCCCTCTCTGATTCTCATTCAGCCACGAACGCTGAAGTTCAATCTCCATAAGGGCACCATTGTTGGGGGTCCTGGTCACAGGTCTTGACCCTTACCCTGGAGAGGCATCTCACAAAGGTTCTTCCTGGAAAGATGAGCCTACATTCTCTGGCTTAACTTCCTCAGACTTCTCTTCAGTCTCCTACATTTGGCTGTTCCCTCTAACGCTGCCATTTGGGGGTCAATATTCAGATCCTACAGACAATTTCTGATCCCTCTTATGTAACTTCTCCCTAGCACTTGACAATCCTTTTGACATTTTTTTCCTCTATTAGCTTCTGAACCATTGCTTTCTCCTAAATTTCCTCTCTGACTGCTCTTTCTTCTGTCTCTTTTCTGGACTCACACTTAAATGATCCCCTGGAGTTCCTATCTCTGGCTCTGTTTTCAATCCACCCTAAGTAACCCTCATAATCTAATTCCAACCTTCCCTTATCTTCCTTGACTTACTCTTCAAAATCCTAGGTATCCTCCAATTCTACTATATTTATTTTCTCCCATAATGCTGTCTCACTGCTCCTTCAGCCTACAGTTGGGCTCACTAATTGTCTCCAGCCCCTCACTCAAACACACATTCTTACTCCAATTTCCCTTCCAGACTCCTCCTAACCCCTGCTTCATTCAGGATCAATGCTACTTGCTCTGTGAAACCTCAGCCCTCTCCCTTTCTCTTCTGTTATACAACTTAACACATCCTAGTATTGTTTGAGGACTGTGACTTATTCATTTCTTTTATCCTTGGGCACCAGTTATTTTGCTTGGTACCCAGCAGATGCCTAGTAAATATTTATGCGCTGAAGCTTTGAATAGAAGGGAACAGAGCTTATGGATACAAAAGGTTGCTATGTTTGGTGGTGCCATGTTTGCCCTAGTATTTTTATAGGGCAATGATATGAGTATCAGTTAGGGAGTTTCCATAAGGAAACCACTAACATCACTAACCCATAATTCCATGTGGTAGGACTGGATTCTAGCTTTGACTCCAATGCTTTCTTGGGACGCTTTATATTTCCAATAATGAGAGTCCTCTCCTTGGAGGAACATAACATCAATTTATTAACAGAGTTGATTACATTAGTACGTCCACTCCATTATTCCAGAAGATGGGATGCCGGGAATGTTAATAGCTACTGGGGGAAACCTAACTCGTAACACTCTGTTAATAAAAGGAAAATGGCTGCTGTTTAGATGATTTCACTCCAAGGGTTTAGGTAACAGCCATAACTAGTCCCTAATTAAGCTTGAAGAAAAGGTAAAAAAAAATCTTACTTTCGAAAGGGAAGGTTAAAAGGACTCCTGCGTCATCCAAAGATAATGAAATTGTCTCCCTAGGAGTCTTCCCAGCTCCAGCGGCTACAGCCTCAATTAGATGTCCTTCCCTCGTGCTCCCACTGCCTCCGGAGCCTACCTCTGGCAGAGCACTTGTTCAAACTGGTGGTTTAACTACTTCCCCTTCAGGTCTCCGAGCACTTTGAAGACAAACACTGCCTCTGATTCATCCTCCTGGAGGACCCAGCTCAGGGCCTGATACACTGCTGGGCTTGTGAGAAATGTGTGCGGGATGAGTTGGCTACAGAGGGTCACATCGCTCTCAACGCAGCACAACTGTGAAGAAAGAACCGCATTCTGCGTGGAGAACCGAGGCGCAGGACAAGGGAGCAGGGACGGCTGAGCACCGAGAATGGGCTCCCTCAGAAGGGATCAAATGCAAAGAGGATTACCTCATCCATTTCCTTTCGAGTCTCAGACCTGAAGCTGTCTTCAAAGAAGACTGGACACATTAGACGTTTTGTGGTACCTTTAGCCTCTTCTCTCCTTGATTTCATTCCAGGGGACAGTTCTGGATCCTCCTCTGAGCTTTTAAAAAGCCCATGCCCTGACAATGCTACTCATCTCTCCCAACTTCTAAATGCTTATTTTTATCTCAGTAAGTCTTAGCTTTAGGGGCCTTTTGATGATGCCGGTGATGACAGCAGCTACCATTTTCTGAGCAGCTAACCAGGCACTGGGCTAGTGCTTGGCGGCATTACCTCATTTAATCCTTACAACAACCCTCTGAGAGAGGTGTTTTTGTTTTGTTTCATTTGGGGGCACACCCCATGGCCTGTGGGGCCATGGATTGAACCTGTGCCGCTGCACTGGAAGAGTCTTAACCACTGGACCACAGGGAAGTCCTTGAGGGAGGTATTATTATAGAAAACCAAACACAAGAAGCTAAAGTCACTTGGCTAGTTGAAAGAACCAGCACTCCAATCCAGGTCTGCCTGACTCCAAAACCCAAGCTCAACTACTGTAACACCTAGCCTCTCATTATATCACCTGCTCAGCTGATTACTTACATATCTTGAAATGCAGTCTTCAGGTTGTATCCACTAAAAAACTACTGATTATTATGACTATGGGTGTATATTTCAAATTTTGATCTCCAAATTTCTCTCTTAGACTTATGAACGTGAAGACAGTATGTTTATGTCTGGGAACAGATAAATGAATCTACTCTAAAATCATTTTTTTTTTAGTTTAAAAGTGTGCACATGTTAAATTTAAAAAGTCACATCTCTCAAGACTCTGCTAGAAGCTGGAGCTTAAAACTAGGGAAGCCCAATGGAGTAGTTAATTAACTTTCACACAAATATTAGCTCCAATGATTGGAAGCTAGTGTTCAGATGGGGAGAGTCTTTCTTAATTGGAAAAAAGAGTATCCTGGGAATGGCAACCTGCTGCAAACACACACCATGTAATCTCTCCCCCCCCAGGTAAAACAAAGCCAGTAGAAGTAGAAAACAACTCGATCGTGTGCAAAACGGGTAAGAAGGCCTAAAGTGTTTCCTGGGAGCAGAGAACACAGTCAAGGGGTGTTCTTCCACTTGGGCAATTTGAGTAAGTTTAATTTCATCAGGAAAACCAATGAAGGCAGTCAAAGGATGGGAAGGAAACTATGTACAGTCTAAAACTCAGCCCTCCTCAGCAGAAAAAAATGCAAACAGGACTGACAGGGAATATGGATAAATAAGATCCAGGGATGTACACTACAGAATATTATACATCAACTAAAAGAAACAAGTTAGATGTACTCACTGCAGTGGGGATAGATCTCTAAAACATTCTAAGTGAAAAGAGGTAAGAGAAAAAGGGATGGCATCTGTAGCACGATTTTTAATCTATGTAAATTTTTAATATTTGCAAAAAATAAAATACACACACACAACACCAATGCATGCTTTCAAGAACATGTGAGAGAATATACAACACATTAGAATGATTAGGGTTCAGGAGAAAAGAGTGCAAGTGGTGAATGGGGATTAAAAAAAAAGGACAAAAATAATGCTGATTTTTGTATAAGTAATGCATACACAAAAAAGGACTTTTCCAGCCCTTTATATAGCTAGTGTGTCAGGACTAGAAATAAAAATCAGTTTCCTGTACTGGAGTTCCTACCCCAAAAGAACAGGATTAAACTAAAAAGACTAATAATGGAATTTATTAAGAAATGTTTGATAGGTTGGCATGCCTATGTCTGCATTACTGGAGTATAGCTGTATAGCAGAGAACTAACAGCATGTGAATTAAATGTAAGTTCTCTCAAGATATTTGAGTCCTACCTGAAAGCTTAGTTTTTCTACATGTATCTGACATTTGGCCATTCTACCTTCCTGATCACCCCCAGCAAATTTTGTCAACTCCCTTAGTTTGTTCTGCAAACCTGTTCCCCAAAGATTATGGAAGGTAGGTATCGAAGCCAAATTATCACATATCAAAAATCTATAGGGTGTAAATTCTTTTAATATATTTAAGGGGAAAATATCCGTTTTTTACAAATACGTTCCTAAGTGTTAAGTTTTAAGACCAGTGCATTCAAATACAGATATACATTTCATGAAAGTTATTAACAAAGCTAAGAACATGCAAGGGACGGTGATCAAGATGACACAGTTGAAGACATCTCACATAAGAAACAGTTGGAGGGGGGCCTCTAGTGGAATGTGTTAGGCTCCTTTGCTTAACCTCCAACAAATCTTTGAGCAACTAATTCTGTCACAGGCACTCTGTAAGGTGTCAGGACAGTGTCCGACAGAAATATGAGTTACGCATGCCATTAAAATTCCTTCTCATAACCACATTAAAGAAGTAAAATTAATTTTAGTAACATATTTTTAATCCAATAGATCTAAGGTATTATCATTTCAACGTTCAATCAATATAAATGTTATGAATAAGACTTGACATTCTGTTTCTTGGTACTAAATCTCTGAGATACAGTGCATGCATTCATAGCACCTCTCAATTCAGTCTCCCTGCATTTCAAGTGCTTGCCAGCCTCACATGGCCTGTGGCTGCTCTATCGGACAGCGCGGTAGAGACAGAGGGACACTAAAGACAAAGTTAGCAGAGATACTAACTAAACACACACAGAGTCCATGCGCCAAAAGATACACAGCAGAATGAGAGCCATAACTCTACAGGTTCTCAACCTTTTCCCCAGCAAGGCCCGCAAACAACGATTAACAACTCCAGCTTTCTTTTTCTTTCTTAAAAGTAAGTTGAAATGCAAAATGGGTGAGGTAAGCTCAAAGCTGTTTCAATGTATGGAAAGAGTTCCAGTAGCTTAACTACTAGAGAATACAAATTATTTTGGGCCCAGTTCCCAACTGACAAAGCAACACACTTCTCCACCACCCTCCAGATCTGACCTGGAAACGGGAACCAGACAGCATATGGCTGTACCTTAGGAACCATCAGCAAAAAGTCTCATGTGCCATACACGTACACACAGCCAATTTAAAGTAAATCTCTTTACAAGTGAGTCTCTAGCAAACGTCACTACTGGAAGGACACTGGGAATCCACATTTATTCCCTTCTTGTTGAAAATTTAGAAATTGTGTTTATGAGTAAATAAGTTATATCCTTTCCTCTAAAACGCAGGAGGAAAAGAATCTGTAAGAAGAGACTTTCTAGTTCCTACTCAAGAATTTGAAAATGGGGAAGTAAGACTGTCCCCTTAGAATAAGCCGATGAAATCAATACACAATCATCCAGACTGCAGATGTGCCAAAGTGAACTGCACGCAGTCCACACCAGCATCTTCCTCAGCATCTCTCAGGGAATATAAGCAATTTGAAAAGCAGCCCTGCTGAGTCACCTCCCCCAGCACCATTCCTTTCACTGCCTCACAGACACAGAACGGCTCCAAGGCCAGCATAATGGAGAGGAACTGGCTGAAGCTGTAAACATCTCCAAGGCAAGGACACTGTCAATTAGCAGAGGACCCCACTTTAGCGCAGAAGCAGCAACGAGGATGGAGGAGAGAGAGCTGGCAGTGTCCATATTAACACTGGGAGCTTCCCCGGCTGGGGAACTCAAGAATCAACTTAAACACAGAGATCCTACCCTGAGAAACAACACATGAGTTGCCCAACATTCAACTGGCTTCCTAGATTTAACCTTGGCCAAATGATCAGAAAACAAACATTTGATCATAATTTAGCTTCCCAGGATGATCTGCCGAAAGGGAAAAAAAAAAAAAGTGCTAATCAGAAACATATTATCTTTTCCACTCTACATGAATAACATTCTTGGTTTTAAACAATTTCTTGTGACTTTTAATTAACCAGTCCCTCAGAGCTTCAGTTTACTCTCGAGACACTAATAAGTGAATTTCTCATCCTACAAGCCAAGAGTTGGATTTTTCCAGGCAAATCCTTGCTGTCTGGGTGCTTGGAGGGCCTTATGAGCAGCCTTCTGGCCTTCCCAGAAATCTTCCTCTGCATCTAGGTATACTGTCTGCAAACTGCCATGAATCTTTACATAAACCGATCTTTCCTATTTTAAAAGAGGCAGAAATTACTGACACTTTGTCTATATGCATTCTCACCCTCCCCTTACCTGGAGACATTTCCATAGCCCCTTAATTCCAACTTTTTAAAGCCATGACCCACTACTGTTACAGTCTTGATTATATGACATTCTTTTACTTCCCTAAGAATTATGTATGACATATTTTTCTCTTTTCAAAAAAGTATATTAAAACTAAAATGAATTTTTTCCAGAATTTCTCATGTTTCCTGGAGTGCACAAACCAAAACTATAGATAAAATATTATAATGGGTAGAAACACTAGTTTTTAACTTGGGTGACTGCTAAATGGGTGTTTGGTATATTAGTCTCTGTACTTTTGGTAAGTTTGAAATAGTTCACTTTCTCAACGTGGCCTTTTGAGGAACTTAATGTGGTGCTTTGCACACAATAGGTCCTCAAAAACTACTTTTTAAAAGATTAAAAATATGATTGACTGAATGAGTATAACTCCTCAAAGTCTCTTTAATATATAAGATAGATTGAGATAAGCAACTAAGGTACTTCATTCATAACTATATTGATGCAGCCCCTTATTTTTCCCTCTTAGGTGATAACAGTGATTATGAGACCTCTCTAAGAGTTAGTACAAGGAGAGAAGAGCTTTGTTTTTATGGACAACATGACTTCAGTGTCCTGTCTAATCCAAAAATTCTGAATTAAGAAAGTCAAGTGTGATACGAAAGTTATTTTTTTCCTAAGCTCCGTGGAAATGAAGGACTTGAACACTGCAATGTCAAACGGGTACCCGAGGGGCAGGTGCAAGCGGGCGGCACGCACGATACCTTGGGCGGCGGCCTCGGCGTGGTACTCGGGCTCCTCCTCGGGAGGGCTCTGCAGGAAGTAAAGCTGCTCCGGCAGCATGCTGGCGATCTTCTCCTTCCCCAGGACGTGGGCGCTCAGAAGCGGGCTGACGCTGCGCTTCACTTTCTCTCTCCTCTCGTGGGCCATAATCTTTTTGGTCCGAGCCTTGATGTTCTCCCAGCACTTCTTCAGCTGTTTGAAATCCCGCAGCGACACGCTGGGCTGGGAGTTGTACTCGTGGGCAAGCGCCTGCCAGGTTCGCTGCTTGAGAGCAATAGTGCGCGCATCGCTTTTCTTACATTCCAGCACATACTTGTACTTTTCTACTAAAGCCAGCAGGATGCTCTTTTCCAATTCTGAGAAGTATTTGGCAGGTTTTATGATTTCGTTGTTTTGCATTTTCCACTGTGTTTCTCCTGGCTGTTAGCTATCCTGGAACAGGAAGTTTGAAACAATCATTATCAACTCCAGCTATAAAGGCATCAGCTAATCACTCAAGCTCTATCCCTGACTTGAGTCCCTTGTCTGAAATACGGCACTTTGCTCCCCTCTTTAATATTAAGTTGTGATATTCTCAAGAAAACATTCAAAAGTTTACCAGGAATGGGGTTTTTACTTAAGAATAGATTTTCAAGTGGGGGTTCCCTGGTGCCTCAGATGGTAAAGAATCTGTCTGTCTGCAATGCAGGAGAAGCAGGTTCGATCTCTAGGTCGTGGGGATCCCCTGGAGAAGGGAATGGTTACCCACTCCAGTAGAGCCTTCGCTGCACTTCTTGGCTATTTTGTGATTACCTGGTTATTGTGTTTAGTCGTGTCTGACTCCTTTCTACCCCATGGACTGCAGCCCATCAGGCTCCTCTGTCCTTGGGATTCTCCAGGCAAGAATACTGGCGTGGATTGCCATTTCCTTCTCCAGGGGATTTTCCCTGCCCAGGAGTTGAACCCGCATCTCCCGCTTGGCAGGCAGGTTCTTTACCTCTGAGCCACCAGTGAAGCCTGATTATGTGGTGCATGCATGTGTGTTCAGTGGCTTCAGTCGTGTCCAATCTTTCCAACCCCATGGGCGTTAGCCTACCAGGCTCCTCTGTCCATGCGATTCTCCAGACAAGAATACTGGAGTGGGTTGCCATGCCCTCCTCCAGGGGATCTTCTCAACCCAGGGATTGAACCTGCATCTACTGTGTCTCCTGCAATGCAAGTGGATTTTTTTTTTACCATTGAGCCCCTGAGGAAGCCCCTATGTGGTATAGAACAGCCAAAAAAAGAAAAGAAAAGCTGAACATCTACGTGGAACTCTATTGTGTTAGTTTGTTTCTCCTAAACATTAAGGAACTGCTAATTCCTCAAATTCATGTTAGGCACCTTTTGAACTAAACAGGTCTCTCAAAGTTTTGTTACAGCTGAAGATAAGAGAAGGCAGTGAGTGACCTAATATAACAGATAATATAAATACTACCAAGATTTTAGAATCATCCAGAAATCACCCCAGAAGATCTGACATTTCCATCGCTATGTTTGTGGCTGCAGATAGGTCCATGCTCTTAGAGGAATCTCAGTTTCTTTATCTTTAAAATGAGGACTTGGAGTCTGTAATCCTTAAACTCTAAGGGCCACTTTTAAAAGTGTACTGCTGCTGTTAAGTCGCTTCAGTCGTGTCCGACTCTGTGCGACTCCATAGACGGCAGCCCACCAGGCTCTGCAGTCTCTGGGATTCTCCAGGCAAGAACACTGGAGTGGGTTGCCATTTCCTTCTCCAATACGTGAAAGTGTAGAGTTACATGTAAATCATTAATATAATTTTAGAGGTGTAAGGGCCTGAACGCTTTAAAGATTGAGTCCAATGCCCCTCTTTTTTTCCCCTGGACATTTCATACAAATGGAATAATCTGTGACTTGCTTCTTTCACTTTGCATGATGTTTTCAAGGTCTATGTACATTGTGGCACATATCAACACTTCTTTGTTATTGCCAAAGGATAGTCAATCTTATAGCACAGTCTATATCCTTTACCAATTAATGAATTTTTATTTTATTTATTTTTGGCCATGCCGCACGGCATTGGTGCTAGCAGTAGAGAACCCGCCTGCCAATGCAGGAGACGTAGAGCTGCAAGTTCAATCCCTCGGTCAGGAAGATCCCCTGGAGGAGGGCATGACAACCCACTCCAGTAGTCTTGCCTGGAGAATCCCACGGGCTGAAGAGTCTGGCAGGCTACAGTCCATCAGGTCACAAAGAGTTGGACACAGCTTAGGACACATGCCCTTATCATTATTAGGATCTATATACCATAGATTAGCATATGAAAAAGCAGAGACATTACTTTGCAAACAAAGGTCTGTCTAGTCAAGGCTATGGTTTTTCCAGTAGTCATGTATGGATGTGAGAGTTAGACTATAAAGAAAGCTGAGTGCTGAAGAACTGATGCTTTTGAACTATGGTATTGGAGAAGACTCTTGAGAGTCCCTTGGACAGCAAGGAGATCTAACCAGTCCATCCTAAAGGAGATCAGTCCTGAATATTCAATGGAAGGACTGATGTTGAAGCTGAAACTCTAATATTTTGGCTGCCTGATGCGAAGAACTGACTCAATTCAAAAGACCCAGATGCTGGGAATAACTGAAGGCAGGAGAGAAGGGGATGACAGAGGATGAGATGGTTGGATGGCATCACAACTCAATGGACATGAGTTTGGGTGGGCTCTGGGAGTTGGTGTTGGACAGGGAGGCCTGATGTGCTGCAGCTCACGGGGTCACAAAGAGTCGGACACGACTGAGCGACTAAACTGAACTGAACCATAGATTTTTATATTTTTAATAAATGTAAAAATGTTATACCTTTTTAAATTTTTTAAAAAACTGTATATTGTAACAAACATAGTGAAATGCTTACTACAGTTAAGCTAAATAACATATCTCCTCACATAGTTACCTTCTATGTGTGTGATGAGAGCATCTAAAATCTAGTCTCTCATCATATTTCCAATATTCAATACAGCATTATTATAGTCTCATTTGTACCTTAGATCTCTAGAATGATTCATCCCACATAACTGCACCTTCTACCCCCTTAACCAACATCTCCCTGTTTCCCCCACTCCCAACTCCAGTCCCTGGTACGCACTGTTCTACTCTCTGCCTCTGTGAGTTCGAATCACCTGGTATTCTTAGTATCATTTTACAATTATCTCTTACTCAACTATGACTCCCAACGTCATCTTGCCATCCTCCCCAGTGCTGAGCCAGAATCTTTCACACAATAGATGCTTAATAAGTGTCTTATTCCACTGAACCTATGTGTTTTATGACCACATACTCTCCCACATCTTTTATTCAGAGAAAACTTCCTACAAAATTAATCTCTCAGATTCATCATGGCAAGAATGCCACTAAGCAACAGAGAATGCAGCAATAAAACAAGCAGAGCACTGTCCTCTGTGCAAGGTTGATGTGCCCCATCCTCTTTATGTCCCTCGAGCCTCCTGAGTTTTCAGAATAACAGACAAGTATCAAGCTACTGATGATGCAGTCCATTTAAAACTGACCAACCCGCTATGAACAGAAATAGAAACTAACTTGAAAGGAGCCCCACTGGCCAAAAATGGGACATCTAAATAAGAGTGATGGGTACACTAAGATTCATCAAATTATTCTCTTGATCTTCGTATTTGAAAAGTTCCATAGGTAGGTTGTGGGGGAAAGACTGTGGCTTTTAAGTTTTAAAACACTGACTTAAACTCACATCATTATACAAGTCAGCTCTTCACATACTATGCTTGGGAAGGGGTTACTGTAATTTTGTTTTGTTTTGTTTAATATTTATTTGGCTGTGTTGGGTCTTAGTTGTGGTTCAGAGAATCCCCATTGCGTCACGCAGGATCTTTCGTTGCAGACTCTCTAGTTGCGGTATGCGGGCTTAGTTGCTCTGAAGCATGTGGGATCTTAGTTCCCAGACTAGGGATTGAACCCGCATTCCCTGCATCACAAGACAGATTCCTAACACTGGACCACCAGGGACGTCCCAACTGCAGTTGTAAATAACTGAAATCTGTGAGACCTGAGCGTGGAGGGGACCTGGCCAGATCAGAGAACCTTTAAATAGAAGCCAAGGAAATGTGGACTTAACATGAGGGCAGCAGAACCTGCTCGGGGTCTCTCACCATGTACCACTTCCTCCCAAAAGTTAAGGTCAGTGTGATCAGTGTCTCCAGATATAAGGTGCCTGCCCTCACATTCGTTATGAACACATCCACATCAAAAATCGAGAGCTTTAGACAAGCCAGAGGCGGTTTGGCCCTCAGGTCTTCGGCAAAGAGAAATATTGTTGTTGTTTAACTGCTAAGTCGTGTCCGACTCTTTGCAATCCCATGGACTGTAACTTGCCAGGCTCCTCTGTCCTTGGGAGGACAATTTATCTTTGGAGACAAGTCCTGAACCCCTAAATTACCAGGCCTATGCTTCAGCCACATGGCTCTAATATTGCTATGATGATCCAATTCAGACCCCCAAATGAAAAAAGGATTGTTTACTATTTCATTCTATCAAAGGTAATAATATCTTATATACGATATACATTTTCTTTCTAAATAAACCTCTTTTTCCTATCTTTGATTATTTCTTCAAAATGGTGTACCAACTGATATTCCCACTCCACCGACTTCTGCTGTTAACATTTTTTTAAAAATCTATGCCAATTGTGGAGGTGAAAAATATGTCCCTTCATTGTTTAGTGATATATGAATTGCAGCTCCCAAGCAAATAGGCCACACTCTGCCCAACAAAGTCTCTGTGATACTTAGTGGAATTGAAACTGCAGGGAATTAGTTCCAGGCCCACTTGAATAATTTCGCCTCACAATGTGTGCAGTACCACTAACTGCCACCAGGGGGTGGTGGGCTGGTGGGGAGTCTAAATTCATAAAGGAATACCTAAGTGTGGCCAGTTTGGTCTCTAATAAGAGCGGTAATAACAATAGCAGATAACTGTTATTGAGGCTATACTGTAGGCACGACACTATACTAACTGCTTAATATGCACTATATCATTTAATCCTCCCCAAAATAGCCCCTGAGAGCATCATTTGTTACACTGCTGAAACAAAAAAACTATGAAAGTACCAGAAGAAATTATACAACTCTCTCAAAAGCAAATATTCAGAATTACCAACACCTGGGGACCATTAATAGCCTATTAACTAAACTGTTATTTAATTACTAGCTAAGTAAATCGAAAGTTACCAATTTACTTTGCCTAATTTTGGAGAACAGCAGGCCTCCTTTGGCTATGTGATTGCATCCTTACGGGCTATAAAAGGATTCTGGTATGAAGACAGCGTACCCCAAAGGTCCCCTACGGATTACTCAACAGCCTTCTGAAGTGGGCTGTACATCCCCACTAACCAAT